CTACTGTATCTTTACGGGTTATAGTCATACAACCAATTGAAACAATTCTATTTTTCATCCCACTTGTACTGTTACACCCATGCGCTTATGCATTCAAGCTACAGTTATGACACCTTTAGAAACTGGACATTTTATATTCCGTTAGAGATATACATGAATTAAAATAGTGTGAATAAAGACACTCTACTGTTTTCACTTCAATTGGTCCTCGCGAGATCATGCTGTTGTGTAACTATACATAGTATATTATAGCAAGATCATCCATACGGCTTCAATCTTACTGCTTGCTACTTTCAAAGACATTTGACAAGCACCACACAAAAAAGAATTCCTTGCCTTGATTTTGTCATGACAAAATTTTGAGTAGTATTTGGAATAACTGAGTGTCATGCATCAATCATGTCAGCAAGCCTCACCTTGCGATCCCGTTAGTTATCCCTTTTACGACAAGAATGGGTTACTGAAGACCAATTTTTAACCCGTCAGTGATTAGAGATTCGAGAAGGGGCAGTTTCCAGAAGTCTATGGGCGAGAGTATGGGAGGGAAGAGGGATGAAAGTCACAATATAGGTGAGGAGTCACACCCTCGACGTTGCCCACTCACACACAACGGGATATGCATGTGGCTGTGTCAAGAGGGGAAACATGTGTGACACTCTCCCAATCATACCAGGACCATTGGACACACTACATTACGGTCTATGATGATGCCATCAACAGAAGGTTGTATTTGTTGATGTGAACATGTGATTGAGGAATTGTGTTTGTCTTTGCAAGAATTTGTTCTTGAGATCGACCATATCAAGGGCATAGACAATGTAATGGCAGATGCGCTTTTGAGAGTCAGTTTCATAGATCAGTACACAAATGCAGTTTTGGTAACATGTGCCTCATAAATGACCTTACACAATGACAAATGTTGACGTTCGTAAGCGCACTGACATCGCTTATAATAAAACATGTGTATACCACAAATTCATAAAAAAAACTACGGTAATTCTAAACAATGTATCAACTCTCAAAGACCACTAGGGGCAAATCACTCAGACCTCCACCCTGTTTGTTCTGTCAAAATCTGAGAATAGTGCTAAAAGAATTACTTCTAGGGCTTTGAACTACTAACAAATGCCTTATTAGAAACCTGATAAAAGAGCTTCTAGAGAATGCACAATTGATAACACTGGATTAATTAACGTGAAGGGCTGCGGTCATAATGCAAACTTCAGTTTCTAGGCTGATTGCTCAGAATGAGCTGCGGTGCTAGCTCAAAGAATACCTCGTGTGCACTCACTGCAACTCTGACCTATCAAAATAAAAATGTTAAGGCAGGTCTTATGTCAGTTCTTACCAAATATAATCTAAATAGCTTCCAGTGTTCATAGCTTCAAAAATAGTCACACAAGACAAACCTCACATGTGTACTTGCATCTGGCTTTTGGGTATCGCAAACATCGATCAAAATTTTAATTGTGTGTGAAAATCTCACTCTCACCCGTCTTTTATTAATGTCAAAATATGCTGTTAGTTTGTTACATAACTTTCACGCTTTTACCATGTCGCTTGTTCATTCATTCCATAATCTAGAAATTCTTTATATAGTTCTCAGATATAATCCTGTTTTGTCTGAATCTGGAACACATTTGCCTCATTTGTCTCATTTAGTGACAGAAAGTTTAATTTACGAAACAATGAGAGTTTGGATGATCCTTGGTCCTTATTACTACTGCTTCCTTAGCTATTAGAGCCAACATTTCTACATGATGCAGCTTAGGTGACACTAGCAATTGTACATAATACATAAACTAAATGATATAGTGGAATTGCAGTTTTCAAAACTCTACATAAATATTCCTGTTAGATGCAACCGATCTTTAGAAGTGTTTCTTGAAAATGTTCGCCAAGTCATGTTACGAACCTTGTAGAGAATGGGTGTGGTAAAATTTAGTTCTTTTTAATATTCAAGCAACTTCACGAATCGAATGAACTTCATATGCTGTGTCCTTGTGGGGAATGGAATGAGGGTCTTCCCATGTCCAATGAATGCTGTAATCACAAAGTTACTCGATCGCCATTTTGTACATATTTGAACAGGATTAAAGAACATTATTATTCCATAGTTGTAGTATATATTAGTTCCTGTATATCGACACCTGTGAAATACTAACTGAGCCGGCAAACCAGAGATATATTTATTTCTATTCATTTTAACAAGGGCACTGAACTCACAGAACAAAAATAGAGAAGGTGTCAAACTTCGTTTGTGTGTAAAACACGCATAATTTTATCAAATTGTTTTATCTTCGGATGTCACTTTCAAAATATAAGCTTTATTTTCGTAACTATGCATTTATAATTGATATATCTAAAGTATATAACATACGGGAATCAAAAGTGTATGCTATGAAATTGTTGTCTTCGTGTAAATGTTTACTGCATTCACGTACAGTTCTAGATGTTGAATGCTGCAAGGTAAAGTAACCCCTATGATTGGACAATACTGCTACATCGGTGGCATTATCTCTTGTCCACGTGACAATAGTTGTTATCACTGAAGTACTGTATATTTGTGATTACGCCTCATTGGCCTACATTCATAAACTCGACTCGTAAACATGTTTGTTATATTTTCATCATTACATCTACAATTTTCAGGTAGTCGTGTTACTATTGAATCAATGCAAACAGAATGTTGATATGTTATCAGTATAATACATTTCTTCATACAATGCCACCTTGGTCATATTCAAACGACACAAACTTTAACATATTACAGTGTACACGGAAAACGAATGGGGACATGTGTCATAGTTTCAGAGTGGTGCTTTTCGTTCGCCATATTATCCAAAGTAATGCCATTATGGCCTCAACTGTTATCATCTTCACTCACTTCCTGTCTCATGATGTTGCACATTACAAAGTGCATTGTAATCATGAGAAACACGAACGTGCATTTTATATGATCCAAGCACATGCATATGTGAATAACTAACATTTACATAATTCAATGCATTTGTATACATGGATATCATTACTTAATTTTCATCAACATATATATTATGTTATATTACAAAAGCTTCAGGTGGTTATGATACTTTAGCTGATAATTTACTGCTATCACTTACAGTTCGCGTGTCGTGTTATCAGTTGGTGCATGCGTTAATGTAATGTGACATCCTATGATTGGACAAAACTAGTACATCAGGCGCGTGATCTCTTGTCCACATGACGGAAGCTGTTATCATTGAACTATGTTGATGATTACGCCTCAAGAACTTAGACTACATGCATAAATCTGACTCGAAAACACGTTTGTCTGTAACATTTTCCTTTTATACTACATGTACTTGCAGTGGGTATACAACAGATCATAACCCACAACCAGTATATGATATGAATTCAATGATTAATTAATACTTCGAAATAAAACATTCTTGAGCCATAACTTAAACTGGCAATAGGTGTTAATATGTTTGCTGTAGAGCATCGCTAGTCTTCACTACAACTCCGTGGATCCTGATACCACACTGGCAAGCATGACAAGAACCGTTTTATAAAATACATCGAATTTTAACCACGTGTCGAGAGTGGACCCTGGATTGAACTCTGAGTATTGCTTATCCCAGCCTACTGTTTGATATTGAACATGTGTAAAAACTGCAACGACGTTCCACATACAGACGAGGTGCTCAGATCATACTGGTGCAATTCTTTGCTCCAAGCATGCCTGCCAACATGACGAGGTATGCATACAATGCATACTGAGAAATCGGGCTTCCTACGTTTCTCTGTCGCCAAATGTCAACTCTGGTTGCACCATCTGGTAGATTGCACACAGGCGTCACACTGATCTGTGATAGGCACAGCATGGTCCATACATCTGATTCTTGCTTCAACCCGTATTTTATTTAATCTATGGAATGTTTTCAACAGAAAAGAAATCTTCATACAATACCAGCTCCCTGATATTCAAATGACACAATTTGAACATGCGATATTGTACACGGAAAGTAAATGAGGGCATGTGTCATAGTTTGATTGTGGTGACTAAATCTGCCTTTCGCCATATTATCTGTCTCCAAAGTGATGTCAGTTTGACCTAAACTGTTATCATCTTCACTCACGTCTCACTACAGTTGGCATCTTCTAACCTGTATCCATGTACGTGTATTCCCAGCACGAGCAATATCTGAAGAACTAAAATGACTATCTCATGAAACATGTGTTGATGCTGTCGTATGCATGTACATCATTACCTACTGTTTGTAAACATACATTATTCACATGAATCATGCTGTTGCATAACCATTTATGTGGTTATAATACTTCCGAAAATGTACCCCTCTATAATATATTATACCAAGTGTGAGAATGGAGAAGCAAGTTCTAAAAGAACGACACTGAATGCTCCGGGTGGTGTTTAATTACCGTTTCATACGGAGTTGCCATCCGTGAAGACCCGGGGTAGAATAAGTATTCAGCAACCCATGCTTGCCGTAAATGGCGATTAACGGGATCGGGCGGTCAGGCTCGCTGACTGTGTTTATGCATGTCATCCCAATTGCGTGGATCGATGCTCATGATATCAATCACTTGATTGTCTGATCCAGACTCGATTATTTACTGACCGCCGTCATATACATGTAGCTGGGATGTTGCTGAGTGCTCCGTTAAGCAACAAACCAACCAAATCATACTGAGGTACAGGCTTCAGAGGAGTAACCCGCCATTCCATTTTTATCACTGCTTGCAAGAAAAATCGTATTTCGTGCAGCGTTAAGAAGTAATCTGTAAACCTAATAAACTGTGTGTTATAATGCTCTGATGACTAAAATTGGATCGGTAAGATTAAGATATTTAAAATATTCACTAACTGATATTGGTTGCTTCGATCTGGCTCATACATGGCATGCATGTTGATGTAGTGAGTGCTGATAACCTTACAGGTTATCCACTGGCAAGTCAAAGGTTGCCTTGTTTTTGTTCACGGTTGTGAGATATGTCCCACACTCCAGAGTGTGCAGCAACGCACATCTATTACTGATGATCATCAGAGATTTACTGAAGGTGAGTGGGGAAACACCCCTACATGTTTCGTGAATGTATAACAGTTCTATAGTTTAATATAAAACTTAGTTTTAGAAACTTTGCCCTGCTACATTGAAACACAATTTAAAGTCATAATGGAATGTTACTCGAGCATCGATGAAAAACAACCCTCATGATCTTCTAAATACTGAAACGCTATCGGTTTGCTATTTTCATGTGCACAGTTGTTCCGATCCAATACCCGATTATACTTAGCTCAAAATATGTGAGTAGATATTTACCCATACGAAGCACATGCTGGGGTAACGCAAATGAAACTTTGATTATAGTACAAACAACATTCCTGGCATAATGTTTAGTGACGTCCGATAATAAAGGTGACACATGATATCACTGTTAGCGTCATGTTAACATAGCAGCAATAGGTCTTCAGCAACCCATGCTTGCCATATCAGGCGACTATGCTTGTCGTAAGAGGCGACTAACGTGATCGGGGTGGTCAGACTCGCTGACTTGGTTAATGCATGTCAACGTATCCCCATTGCGTAGATCGATGCCTATGACGTCAATCACTTGATTGTCTGGTTCAGACTCGATTATTCACAGACCGCCGTCACATAGCTGGATTATTGCTGAGTGCGGCGTTAAACAACAAACAGACATGGGAACAGGAAATTGGGGTATATCCAATTGACAGAAGACTAATCTAACAGGGAATACCTGTGGTATAACGAACGTCAAAGCAAACCTCAGCACAATTGTAAAACAATGTTACGAATCCTTCCTCCTCGAGTATGGGCTACTCCGGAAAATCCGCTGTCATGTCTTGTCAGGATATTCAAACTTCAAAATACTTCCGCCTGTTCATCACAGTCATTCCGAGGCTCCCTTTTAATTTGACACCACAGAAACACGGTCAGCTATGGTTCGAGCGCATGACAGTTAGAAAAGACACTCTTGGTTCTGTTATCCAAATTTTGGCAAAACTTGCCAGCATGTCAAACGTCTCAAAAATCATAGCGACCTGAAACATCGTGTACACAAATTAGTCAATGCTAACGATCCTTCCACACAGATTCTGCAAATATCTGGACACAAGAACGTTCAAAGTATCAACAACTATTCTTGCATGTCTGACGAGCGACAAAGTCATGACACCGTCAGCTCTCACATTTTCTTGCAATAACACACAATCACTTACAACAGTGAGCACATCATTCAGTTCAGAATTTATCCACTCAAATCTAGTACAAAGGGGTGTCTTCAACATTGTTGTAAACTGTCCAAGGTCCACTACGAAGTTTGCTTGAAGCATGTTACAACTGAGTGCCCGCCAACGTTCGCAAACACAGTGCACTAATTTTATATTTACAGTTGTGTCAAACGAATCCTCTGATCAATACATTACACTTGAGTAAAAACTTGAGAGCCCTGATGTTTATGTTATTCGTCAGTTACTCCTGGACTGAATGCTACAGGCGTTTATGTGTCACTGAAATATCAGACGTTGACACTACTATGACGGTCTAATTTGTTCATTCCTTCCCTCGTGTTCATTGACTTTTTACCTGATTCCATAGCACTTTAAGTTTTCGAAAACAAGTCGTTGGCGTTTGTGGGAACCACATTTACAACAGGTCTTTATTCCAAACCTCAGCCTCATGTGGGACTTGAATAACGACGACCACATTGTAACTGACATTGAGCTTTATCTACCTATCTTACGCGTCGGCCGGGTGGCCTGGTGGTTTAACCTTTGGCTCGTCATTTGCCGCGATCGCATCTCAAGATGGGAACAATGTGTACAGGGCTTCATGGTAACCCCTCCAGTAATTGCCAGGTTGCATTATGTACTCATATGTACATGTATCATATGAACTAAAAGTTATTTATGTATAATTTATGTTAAATCCGTAGATAGTATTACTTGATAGTATTGTATTAATGATTTCACTCAAGAACATGTAGGTACCTCTAAATTCACAATCGACATGTTCAAGTTCAAATGCAAGATCCCTCACTGACATTATCAGATCACATAATATCATCAACCATGGCATGAAACAAAGCATCAATATGAAGTACAAGATAAATTCTATGTGTATAGTTGGTTAAATTATCGCATGCCTTCATTACCAGTGTTAATGTTCGCTATCTCCAAGTGTGTAAGTTGTAAGTTTGCTCTCTCCAAGTGTGTAAGTTGTAAGTTTGCTCTCTCCAAGTGTGCATGTTGTAAGTTTGCTCTCTCCAAGTGTGCATGTTGTAAGTTTGCTCTCTCCAAGTGTGTAAGTTGTAAGTTTGCTCTCTCCAAGTGTGCATGTTGTATGTTTGCTCTCTCCAAGTGTGCATGTTGTAAGTTTGCTCTCTCCAAGTGTGCATGTTGTAAGTTTGCTCTCTCCAAGTGTGCATGTTGTAACTTTGCTCTCTCCAAGTGTGCATGTTGTAAGTTTGCTCTCTCCAAGTGTGCATATTGTAAGTTTGCTCTCTCAAAGTATGCATGTTGTAAGTTTGCTCTCTCCAAGTGTGCATGTTGTAAGTTTGTAGCTGTTACTGTGTAGAGAACGTGTGACAGTGTCAGGATTGCCGCATGTGATTGGTGGTACACTGATGCTTCAGACGCATGCTATCTTCTCCACGTGAGAGTTATTATCTCGGGGGGAGCAAGTCTGTATTGATAACAAACTCTCGGTCAGAATGTAAAATCATATTTACTGAAATAGGTCATAGTTCTTGCATTATGTCATGTGTTTAGACTAGCACGTTCCATTAAACTAGAATATAATTATATCTAATCTGGATACGATCTTATCAATGGCGCCAACCTCGTGTCATATTTATATTCAATGAACAAAATACATCATTGACTGAAATGAATTGGCAACAATGTCAATTTCAAGGTATCAAGGGACATTTATGCATTTATGCTGTTATGGATGGAAGCATATTAGAACCACCATCAAAAAATTAAATATCATCTACAAAGATGATGCTATCATTTACTATCGAATTATCATCCTTATAATTATAAAAATATGTTTTTTCCAGTAATCAACAATAGTTCAAGGTCAGTTATGCATAACCTGTGTCTAACCGACTTGTTTGACTTTCTACCTTGACCTGTCTTTATTGAGATACTATCTAAGCATTAAATAAAGCAAATCTTCCTTTCAATTTGTCGAAGTTAGTGAAGGATGACACACTCCGCACTATCTTACCACCGTAATAATGAGAGGAGAGTAGAACATGTTATCAAAAACTACAAACAACTATCAGTCATTATGCAAAAGTTTAGTGAAATTATATATCAATGATTACATGGTTTAAGTCGGAGCAATCACTCAAATATGTTGATTCGCATGATTTCTCCATTACAGAAGTTAGTTGTACGAGGTAAAACGTGAATATGAAGGGGTGAGACTCACTCAAACTATAAAAAAAACTATACGAAACTAACATTTGTTATCATCCTATGAAGCACTGAAGGTACAATCCTGCAGTTTGCGTTTTTATTTTATTTTGAGAAGATTAATGCTTCTTTACATTTTGTACATTATAAACAGATTAAGTCGCTGTTAAATTGAATATCACGTTTTTGTCAACTTAGACTACATGTTTTACCACAGATACATTGAGGATGAACTCCATTTCATGTTTGGATGTAAAACATATATATATTTGTGTTATGTAATGTCCTATCCTTGGAAATGTTAAATATTCAAAGCTGTCAAACTGCAAATGTAAAACATGATTAGACTGTTTTAAGATATGTTAAGGAAGCCTTAAAATATAAGCAGTCATTATTACCATCTGTCACTGCTCAATAATGAGAAGTATGAATCTTGAGTGTTTGCTACTCTGTTGTATTCATGATTACGGTGTACTGCGTTGTACACGGGCCGATGTCCATTTTTGTCCAAAAGTTCCTGTGACACCAATATTTTAGTGTATTTTTCAAACAAGTAAAGTTTTGTTTTCAATATTGTAGTAAATGTATGGAATCAAGTCACAAAAACGCAACTGCTACAGAAAAGCATGCATTCCATGCAAAAGTTGACTTTTATGCAACCTCAATGCATTTCACTACCCAAGAATGGGTATAAAAACATGAGCGTTAACGGGATTCCATATGCATTGTTTAGCATCGTGCTGACAACTACTCAGAAAAACAACAAAATTACGCAATTATTCAATTTTACGAAATGCCACGCCTGTCCGAAAATGAGCGTCTGCGAGCCATTGGTATGCTTGAAGCTGGATCGAGTCAACGTGATGTTGCAAGACAGGCATTGTCGCCTTTAACAGCACGCCAGGGTTGCTTCAGACCTATTTACGTGTCCTTGATATTTCAAATATTGCAAATGTTTAAATTGTAAACAATCAGGGATAGATTACACTTGATCTTTTACGTACGTCTTTTTACGTACGTCTATGAACTCGTGTCTGTTTTGTGCTGTAAATGGAGCAGGCCGTGCTAGGATGGCATTTCGCCAAGTATGACACAGGCTGACATTGGGTATGTTTGTGCGTCTTTAATATTATACTGAGATGTGCCCCAATTGATAAGAGCACAATGGATTGATACGTGTCACTACGTTGATTGGAAATAGCTCTTGGTCCCTCATTAAAGTTTTCGGTCTTTTTAGAATGGACACCTTCCCGAAGTGTTCTGTCTGTCAGCAGCAGTTTACCCTGAAAAGTCCAGTCCCCTACTTACTGCCCTGTCTACACGCTGTGTGTGAGACGTGTGTGACATCTGCAGCTGGTGGTGTGATATCATGCTCTACATGCCAGAGGAAGGTCTACCTCACAGACACAAGCCTCCAGAAGGATGCAGTCAGACAGAAGGAAATATTCCACCTGACAGTCAAACATCACCCCACAGAGCTTCTCTGTACAAATGAAGATGACGGGAACCAGGCTGTGTGTTGGTGTCAGGAGTGTGAAGAGTTCCTCTGTGAATACTGCCAGAACATGCACAGCAGAATCAAACTTACCAGGAACCATGTACTTCAAAACTTCTGTGACATGGAACCGACTGTCTCGAAGATTCCAACATTTTGCGGTATCCATAAATACCACCCCCTTTATCTGTTTGATAAAAGCTGCAAGAAGTTAATCTGTGCGAAATGTAGGTTTGATGTCCACGCAGACCATGAAGTTGTGGAGCTGGATGTGGCTGCTGATACTGTAGCAAAAAAGCTGGATCAACATAGGAATGAGCTATCAACGTTACAGGCTCGCCAGCAATCACACATGCAGAGCATCAGACAGGGAACCGAATCCACCGACAGGACACACAACACTTTGAAAGAAACTATTGGCCACACATTCCAATCTCTGAGATCACAACTGGACAAAAGAGAGAAGGAACTTCTGATCGATCTTGAAAGTCAGACGAAGGAGACCAAGGCAACTCTACATGCTCAACTCACCACATCTGAAGAAGAATGGAAGACATGCACTGGGGTTTTAGACTACATCGCCATAGTCCTCCTCTATGCCTCTAAGTCAGACCTCGTGGAACTGGAGAGTTATGTAGGGTACATAACGCGGACCTACCTAGAAACCGCAGCGCCTCAAACACATGTCGTACCTACAGCTGTCTTCAACACCAACAGCTTGTCAACACTGAAATCAAACATATCAGTGTTTGGTGCCATTTTGCCTAGGGCAGTGGATGAGGAATCTGTAAAAGGTATTCACATTGAACATCATGTAGTTTTATTCATTCTTTGTATGTGTACAATGTTTGCAAGTTCTTGTGACATTCTATTTCGTTAACAGCCACTCTTTTTTCTTCATATGTTTCTTTATTTAAGACTCATGCTTTGTTTATAAAGATTTAATGTTTGTAGACAACACATGACACGTTCCCGGTGTTTATCGTCAGGAGTTATTCGTCTGTTGTTTCAGACAAGGATACTCAGACTGATGATGATTTAATGGCAGACTTGGAAATGAAACACAAAATGGTGAGTACAATCAGTGGTGGAATATCATGAATTCTTGGTTGCACACTGACCAAACAACTGGCCAACTAGAGGTTGGCCCAAAGCAAATTTGCCTCAATCGTCATAACTATGTTCATCACATGGAGAGAAAGTGCATCAGACCATTTAACGCTTGTATTTTTTGCAGGACCTAACACAGCTGAAGACGAAAATTGGTTCAGACGAAAAACATATTGAAAGCCTCAAAACACTTACAGACAAGCTCAATGCTGAAATGGAAAGCTTGAAATCGGTTTGTTTTTATTACCTTACATGTACACACCTTCAGACATGTCAACGTCTACCATTTCAACATGAGAGTCTCATGTGATGAGAGTGTCATGAATTCTTGATATTGATTGCAACCGTTAACTATTGCATGTCTTGAAAATCCTAGACCCATGAGGTGTCATGATAGGGCACATTCTTCGTTATATAATACATATGCTATATTTTCAGCGCATTAAGGAGAAGGAAACCACAGAGAAGATCGCCTCAAAAACCATGGATGTCTTACTTGGTAAATTTGTATCACACTTCTTCTTTGACCTCCCTTCATCACATAATCCCAGATACATTAGATAACTGAACATGCATCTCCATGTCCGTGAGTGGTAAACTTAGTAAAACCCATACATTAAGTCCCTTTGTTGCATCATACATGTATTTAGTGATCTTGATGTTACAGGTGTGGCCAGAGAATGCGGTGTTCATCTGCTGAAGTCAGACGTTGCAGACAGATCTATGGTGCTGAAGTGTGAGTACATTTATCATGTATCTCATTCGATATAGGTCTTGATGTACATCGTGTTCAAGTAATATAAAACGTCATCACGCATGGAACATTTAGTCACCAACTACGATTGAGGGGCATAGAGTAGATAATTGGCTCATGCTTGGGCTAACGAAGTTCAGGCGCTGGCAGTCTTTGTGTGTCATCGGCTGTCATTGTTTACCTGGCCCATGTTAATTACGTAAACAATTACAGGACACGTTGGTAACTGTGTACAACTTCAGTCATTATAGCTTAATGTTGCTAAATTAACAACGCGTTGGTCTGACGTTGAATTATTAATGATTACCTGCATACTCGTATATGCACGGGGTCGGTGAACGGTTCTCTGTAGGAAGTGACAACATGAAGTCGAAGGTTTGCACGATATACACATTGCTTTAGACAGGTGGATATATGTATATACAAGAAGCTCTAGGTGCCAGGTTAGCACATTCTGTTGGTGCCACGGATCGCCTAACCTAACCCTAGCTGGGCTAAAGGTGAGGCCTTATGGTTTTTTGTCACTAGACCATGGATTTTATATCCATGATCATGTGACACGGATTAAGTCGACAATATAAACAACAGTAAATAATCAGTGACAAAGTTGCACAGCTCGTTCAGGATGGCTGACAGTCGACGTACAATACGATGGTGATTAGCATCTAATAAGTAATTGCACTGAAGATTGTGGACATATATATTTTATGGCTACAGGGTAACTAGTCTTTGCTCATTCCGACAAAGGTTGTGCCAAATCGGTCGCTATAACAAATCTTACCCACTATTTCATCGTCTTGGAAATGTTAACCTTAATGACAGTTGCCAATTGTAGACCGCCTCCCCGCCTATTGTATCAAGGAAATATTAGCCAGAGGGGTGAGTGAGTGTATTGTGATTGACGCCACTTTAAACATCAATTCTGTTATACGATTTGGTAGCACCTTCATTTGGGTGAAAACCCCGAAGTAATGCAGGTCTTAGACCTTCAACCTTTTGATGAAGAACCCATGAGCTGACAAATTATATTCTGGTCTCATTTTGAAATCAAACAAAAGTTCACAACACTCTGGCAAGCATAGTTTTAGGTGACACATAACGAATTGCGACGGCTAAGTTGACCGAACCACAGTAACAGTAAAACAAAGACAGTATATTCTAAAGTCCAGTGACACAAAAGAGTGAATGCGCGAATTGGTTTTAACGCCTCTTTAAAAAGTATTTCCGTAATATAACGACATGTCAGCTTGTGTGGGGGCAACGCACAAAGTGATACCGGTATTAGACAGTTGTCATGTATGAGGTGCTGACAAACATAATCAGGGAGATTCTGGGATTTGAATCCACGATCATAGGTTTCCGAAATGCGTCAGAGGTGACACCAATGCCCCGACATGAAAGCCATTCGGTGGAATTAACTACTAACAATTTACGTAATCTCAAACTATCACCCTCCCTTTCTTTATCAGGTAGACACTTTTGACTTAGCACTACATTACTGGAGATGCTTATTTTACATTTGTTGTAACTGAATTAAGCTATGGCGTCATTACTAATGACACTTACTAATTACAAGCCTCTGAGACACTAACGTCTTACTCTCCTCCTGATAGCCCTGTGAGTTCAATCTTACACCTGTCACGTGACAAGGTTTTCTGATAGTGTTACACTGATTCCAGACAAGATAAAGAGTGTTGAACAGGGTCATAATTTGAACCGATTCCAGAGTAGATACACAATGTCGGACAGGGTCCTTATATACACTGATTGAAGACAAGATATACAGTGTTGAACAAGGTTCTAATATACACTGATTGCAGACAAGATAACCAGTGTTGAACAGGGTCATTATATACACTGATTCCATACAAGATATACAGTGTTAAACAGGATCATAATATGCACTCATTCCAGACAAGATTTACAGTGTTGAACAGGTCCTAATATACACTAATTGCAGACAAGATATACAGTGTTGAACAGGGTCATAATATGCACTGATTCCAGACAAGATTTACAGTGTTGAACAAGGTCCTAATATACACTGATTCCAGACAAGATATACAGTGTTGAACAGGGTCATTATATACACTGATTCCAGACAAGATATACAGTGTTGAACAGGGTCATAATATGCACTGATTCCAGACAAGATATACAGTGTTGAACAGGGTCGTTATATACACTGATTGCAGACAAGATATACAGTGTTGAACAGGGTCATAATATGCACTGATTCCAGACAAGATTTACAGTGTTGAACAAGGTCCTAATATACACTGATTGCAGACAAGATATACAGTGTTGAACAGGGTCATAATATGCACTGATTCCAGACAAGATATACAGTGTTGAACAGGGTCGTTATATACACTGATTCCAGCATCTACACCAGCTTCCGGTTTAGTCAAGGATCATGTACAAAATGCTGTCCTTGACTTACAAGTGTGTCAACAACCAGGCTCCAGCTTATCTCTCCACTCTGCTCCAGCTTCATAATCCACCAAGAACTCTTCGATCAGCAAGTCAACACCTGCTATCTGTTCCCGAGTATAGACTTTCGGGTTATGGACTAAAGACTTTCAGTGTGGCTACCCAAAAGTTATGGAATGATCTTTCACTTGAGATTAGACTTTCCTCAACATTTCAGACATTCAAAGCAAAACTAAAGACACATTTGTTAAAGATTACTTGCTTCTAGATAACCTGTGTCGCTCACGTTTAAATACAGTTGGTCGGATGATAGGTTCCCGTGAATAATCAAGATCCGGGGTAGAATAGGTCTTCAGTAACCCATACTTGCCTTAAGAGGTGACTAGTCTTGTCCTAAGAAACGGCAAACGGGATCGGGTGGTCAGGCTCACTGACTTGGTTGGTGCATGTCATCGTATCCCAATTGCGTAGATCGATGCTCATGATATTAATCACTGGATTGTCTGGTCCAGACTCGATTATTAACAGACCGCCGCCGGACAGCTGGGATATTGCTGAGTGCGGTTAAACAACAAACAAACAAAAGATAATCAAACTGCATCCACGAATCAAACTGTTCCAGTGTCTTCATGTCACAGACTAAGATATTTGATGGTATTTTAAATATGTCATTGAATGCTTGTATTTAAATTTCACACTGTAGAATTACGTAACTGTTACTTTAAAGAAGTAAGGGGAATGGGGGAAGGATGGGTGGTGATAGTGGTTTCAGATAATGTTTCTCACTGCAGCTAGAAATTATCAAGGAAATGAGTAGGAAAATAACGATTGAAAGCATAATCACAGATCACGACATTGGAGACACACAAACTGCGAGCACCCTGGCCACCCGACCGCCATCTCAGACGACGTAATGGGGACCTTGGAAAGACAATGCAATCCCTGTAACGCCAGGCAGACATTTGTACACCTTTGATGCACCGTTAGTATGTTCTGTATATATAGAGGTTATCACGCGAGTATGTTTGGGGATGGTAAATATCCTGCATTAGGAATAAACATTGTATTTAGCGAGCCTTGGCGAGCTAAATACATAGTATTTATTCCTAATACAGGATATTTACCATCCCCAAACACACAAGCGTGATAACCTCTTTATCATATAATGTCATTCTTTAATCCTGTGCTTCAAATCGCTTTCCCTCTCTCACAAACATTACCGAAACATTGCGAGTTTTCCTGGAATGCGCGCATAAATATATATTACGTCAGAGGGTAAGTGATGTATCAGTCGTACAGTGACAGTAGCCAATATAGTTCCAACTGAAATCTGTTTCTTATACAGTGGCGAAGCAACATATACGCAAAACAACAATTGTTTTTATTTTCCTTTCGCGGCAATCCATCGGTCTGTCCGCTAGAGTAACTGCCCTTTGTCAAAGGGAAGCTATTCTAAGCCTAGTCTATGAGACGTCACGGCCACGGTCAGACGTTGTTGACAGTCGGTCTGTCATAACGTTAAGAAGTGTAGTCAGATGTACACACAACGACAAAACGAAACAAGGTAACAATTCAAACATATTTGGTTCCAAATCCAACTATTTTAATTTGTAGAGAAGGTTTCAAGCCGCAGAGGTCTACAAGCACAGATATGGCTACTGATCCCGCTTGGCTAGGCCTCGTGCCCTCGCAAAATTGTTTCGAAATTTATATCACCAATGTTGCCAAAACTTATAAAATGCCTTAGCTACGTTACAGTTAGACACTGATTTTCAGTATATTAGACTGTTCTTTTGATAATGATAGCAATTATCCCTGTAGTTTATCCAGATTCCCGATGGTTAATTCTGACTCGATCGCAAAATGACGAGGGCGACGCCATGTTTGTTTATAAACAGTGAAAGTAGTCCCTACTTGACCTTTGATATTTGCATCTTTATCCGCATCTGACCCCAACGGATATCGTTTTTATCCGTTGGCTTTATCCTGCCGAGAAACCTACCATTATATGATAAAGTGCAATATCTGCGAGGTTCGTACTGCTTATAAGATTTAGTATCAGAAACATTTAAACTTAAGACTCAAGATAATAAACAAACCAGCCAGTATGAAGTTGTCATTGGTAATCGTATCATATACAAGCAGGCACAGTGGACTGTTTAACCTGTTAATAGGTCATGTTGTTACCATCAACCCTGTTTTGCGTGTGGGTTCAAATACATCAATATTCTCGTGCTGGTAGAGTCACCGTGTTACTGATACTTTTTAATACAGTTTCACAGACTTGGTGCTAGATAACCTTTGTATCGCTCACGTGAAAATACACGTGTGTTGTAATGTGTTAAGCCTAATATCGTCCCAGTGTTATGAAACTACGATTGCTACACGTTGAACATTCTTTATACACTGTTTGTCTCCAAATACGTGTATATCAAGGTTCACAAATTAAGATTAAAGACACTGGAACTTCTGCATGTATGTCTTGACATTCTTCTTGCAGCTGCCTCCTTATTGTTACTTCCTTCGTTTGTACATTATAGACGGCGGCT